GTGGAAAGAGGGCCCTCACATCCGCCACTGACCTGCAAGTGCCCGTACCCAATCGTTGCGCGTTTACCGCTGACACACCTGGGGCCTGCCACACGTCCACATGCGACAGGCGAGCACCAGGTCCCACGCATCCAGAATGCGAGTTTTGCGTTGCAAAGAAGCGACTTCCGTGCATCAGGAGCTGCGGCCGCCGTGCTGGCGCGGGCAACGACGGCTTCTGCCCACTTTGCCGCCCGTCCCCGCAGCCGCAGCCACACATTCCCAATGGCACGGACAGTTTTTGTTTCGGTGGGTCTGCCAGCGCACACGAACCCTGCGAACCCTGCACCACGCCTCGCTGCAACAGCGTGTCCTCGAAGGGCGCTGCGTGCGCGTTCTGTTCTCATCATCTGCGGCCATGCTCGACGCCGAACTGTGCACGGAGGACGGCCGACCCACGCGGAGGGCCTCACTGGAGCATATAAGCGGTACGGCCCAGCTTAGAGGCACACCTGCACTATCAGAGCCCTTCAGGTCCTTCGAGACGGCACAAATCGTTCGGTTCACTTGAGTTTACAAATCGTTGGGCCCAATTGTACACGCGCTGGCGCATGCAAGACGACGACGGTGAAGAGAAAGACAGGGCTGATAATGGCGAGGAGGAGGAGAGGCAGGAGGAAGAGGCTCGAGCGGACGAGAGGAGGAGGAGGCTTGAAGACAGCCCTAGAGAAGCGGGTCAGCAGGAGCAAGAGGAGCAGGTGGCAGCAGCGATAACGACGGGGATAACGAGGTGAGGATGATGATGAGGACGATGAGGGCGATGAGGAGGAGGAGGAGGAGGAGGAGGTCCCAGAGGGAATGAGTACGATGATGAGGAAGCGGAGGCGGAAGAGAAGAAGAGGACAGCGAGGATGAGCAATTGAAGGGAAAACCCATTGAGGATTGCGGGGAAAAGGGGGGGCCTTTTTGTGGAAGGGTTTCTGTTCTTGGCCTTCGGAGAGTGACCTCGTCATTGTCGTAGCAATGTTCAGTATGCATGCGCATGTGGACATATGGGCAGCTGTGCTGCTGTTGTCGTGAGACAGGGAGAACTAGAACCTAACTCGCGCGAAGCGCGCGCGTAGTCCTTGTTTAAGGTGACACGAACTGCAGCCTCGTCAGGGACGGCGTTGTGTTAAATGTGTGTGTGTGTTCAATTGTTGGATCTCTCGGGGTGCTCCCGGAGCTCCCTTGGTGCCCCTTCGAGCCTTCGCAGCTCTTCTTGGAGAGCTCTCCTGGGAGCCTGTCTGGGTTTCAGGATACGCCCAGGAGGGCCAAACATTCGACACACCCTTAACACAACACCGTCCCTGACAAGGTAGCGGCTTGTGTTAAATGTGTGTCAAATGTTCGACCCTCTTGGAGCTCTCCCGAAGCCCGCCCGAGGTCCCGAGGACAGCCTGAGAGGCCTCGAAGAAGCTTTGAAATTCAACACACATTTAACACTCACTGCTTCCTTGTGGAGGACGGGCTCGTGTAAACTTTGTTTTGTTCTGCTCTGCCTCCTGGGCGCTCCCTGAGCTGCCTTGGGGGCCCGTGGAGCCCTCCCAGGCCGTCCTGGACACGAAAAACGGATCGCAGCATGCGCCCCGGAGGTTCTCCGGGAGCATCCGAGTGATGTTTCCGGAAGCCTCTCCAGGAGTACCGACATCGATGTCCCAGAAGATTCCCTGTGAATTCCCGAGCGGATGCCCCGAGCCACACCGCAGGGGCAAGAGGAGGAAGAGAGGCGCCGAGGACGACGAGGAGGACGCCGACGACCCCCGAAAGGTCCCCGGAGATCTCAGGGTGTTTCCCGAGTTCTGGCACGAGAGGCTACAGAAGGGCCAACCACGTCCGAACCCCCCGCGCACAAACGTGCAGAGTCGACGACGACGGCGACGCCAGCGGCGGCGGCTGCGGCAGCGGCCGCGGCCAAACCCCGCACGCTGGACGAGCGTTGGCGGGAGCCCCAGACCCTGGCCCAACGCGGCGACGAAAGCGAACCCGCACGGCCCAAGAGGGCCCATAACAACTTACGAGCCTTGATCCTCGAGCCTGGAGCCCTCATCCTCCCCCCCTCGATCGTAGACGAATGCGACGACGTTGGCGGCGACAGCGACGACTACGACCACAGCCACGACGACCACGGCGACGACGTGGTCGGACGATTGCACGCTTTGGGGAGGAGGAGGAGGAGGAGGAGGGAGGAGGAGGAGGAGGGAGGAGGAGGAGGAGGAGGGAGGAGGAGGAGGAGGAGGAGGAGGAGGGAGGAGGAGGAGGAGGGAGAGGAGGAGGAGGAGGAGGAGGAGAGAGGAGAGGAGGAGGAGGAGCTGAGGTTCTCACGACCACGGCGACGACGACAGCGACGACGGGGAGCCCCGGTGGCCTCCAGAGGCCCGACGACGGCCCCAAAGCGACGACGATCCATCGACGCCAGCCGACGGCTTCCGCCGGTCTCCAGAGCCCAGAGGCCTCCGGAGGCCCCAGAGAACCACAGCGCGCCCTCCTCCTCCTCCTCCTCCTCCTCCTCCTCCTCCTCCTCCTCCTCCTCCTCCTCGTCCTCCTCCTCCTTCCTCCTCCTCCTCCTCCTCCTCCTCCTCCTCCTCCTCCTCCTCCTCCTCCTCCTCCTCCTCCTCCTCCTCCTCCTCCTCCTCCTCCTCCTCCTCCTCCTCCTCCTCCTCCTCCCCAGAGCGTGCAGTCGTCCGACCACGTCCACAGACGACGACCACCACCACCACGACCAGGACGACGACCCCCACGACGCTCATCACGGCGGCGGCGGCGGCGGCGACACGCCCCAAAGCGTGCAATCGCCCGACCACGTCCACAGACGACGACCACCACCACCACAACCAGTACGACGACCACCACGACGCTCAGCACGGCGGCGGCGGCGGCGGCGGCTGCAGCGGCGGCGGCCGTGGGCGCGGCGGCGGCAGCGGCGGCGGCGCCCTGGCAGCCGGGAGCCTCTGGGGCCCTCCTCGGCCACCGTGGCAGTCAAGATGTGCGCAGTCTGGGAAAGATTCGTATCCTTTCCGACGCGTCGGGCGTCGATCGCGCACGGCTCCGCGACCGCCCACAGGGCCCGAAGCAGTGCCCCAGAAGGCCGAGCGCCTCCACGTCCCCAGAGCGGCCCTTTCCTGGGGGACCTCGTCCTTTGGTTCGTGGAGTGGCGCAAGGTCCACTGACAAAGACTGTGCACTCGGGCAGAACCTAAGCGCGCGCGTGGTTCTAGTGTGATTGTGGTTTTCTCAATAAACCTATATCTATGTATATATATATATATATACATATATATATATGAATTCAGGGGGGGGCCTCTCACCCTTCCCGGTCTCTGCGGCCGGTTTCCTCGCCACCCTTGCTCGCTCGCATCCTCCTGCACGGGCGCAGCATCAACGCGTGCAGGAGGGCCACGTGTCGCGCTCCGCGCATCGGCCCGTGCCGGCGCCGCCGACAGAAGCGGCGGCCGCAGTCGGGCCGCGGCCGCGGTCTCCACAGGCCAACGCAGGCCAGTGCGAGCAGCGGATTCCTTCTGGGGATAGCCCGTTAAAGTTGGAGCGATACAGAAGATTAGCTTGGCCCCTGCGCAACAAGGGTCGCGCACAAGTCTAGAAGTTTGTACAAGGGGCAGGCCAGGGCGAGCAGCGCAAGAGGAGGGAACTGGGGCCACGAGATGCCGCGAGGCCTCGGGGCTCTTGTGCCCGCGGCTGGTTGGCCTAGTTACGCTGTGAGAAGAGTCTGCAGCGTCCCGGCCCGCCACAGGGGATAGAACGTAGCAGCAGCAGAGACCAGGGCCATCCCCCACCTCCCCTGCGATCTCGTTCGCTTACAGCTTGCACTCTCCAGGGCTCTCTCCTGTTCCTCCTTTCCTCCTCCCCTCTCGATCCTGTTCGCGCACAGGAGGGATTCGTGTGCACTGCTTCGGTGGCGATCGGGTCCCTCCTCCTCCGTGGCGAGTGGCAGACGAACGCAACCCACGGCCGCGGCTGCGGGAGAAAGCGAGCGAGTGTTCCTAAGCTTCCTCTTCCTCCTCCTTCTCCTCCTCATCCTCCTACTCTTCCTCCGTGGCGAGTGGCAGACGAACGCAACCCACGGCCGCGGTTGCGGGAGAAAGCGAGCGAGCGTTCCCAAGCCTTATCCTCCTCATCCTCATCCTTCTCCTCCTCCTTCTCCTCCTCCTCCTTCCCTTCCTCGAGGGAATCGGCAACGTCGCAGGCTACGGGCTGCCGCGCCCTCGCCTGGAGCTCACGAGATGCCATGAGGTCCCAAGCCTAATGTTGTTTCTCCTCCTCCTCCTCCTCCCTCCTCCTCCTCCTCCTCCTCCTCCTCCTCCTCCCCCTCCTCCTCCTCCTCCTCCTCCTCCTCCTCCTCCTCGTCTTCCTCCTCCTTCTCCTCCTCCTTCTCATCCTCCTCGTCTTCCTCCTCCCCGAGGACGTCAACGACGACGACGACGACGACGACGACGACGGTGGGGTCCCAGACATTTTGATTCGTTTGGCCCCGTTCGGGCCTCCACTGACCCCTGGAGACCTCAAGAGACCTGTGGAGTCTCGGCTCCTCCCGCTCCTCCTCGCTTCTTCTGTCCCTCCTTGTTCGCCTCCTCGCCGCCCTCCTTCCCAGCCCACCCTCGCCGTACCGCCCCACTCACCATCCGCCTGCCCACCATTCGCCTGCCCCCGCGCGTGCAGGGGGAACAACCGACACAACCTTTACAGGCCACTCCTGGGCCACAATCCGCGAGATCGAAAGTCGATCCCCATCCCACTTTGCGCCCAGCAAGTCAGACCCTGCGGCAAACGGCTCCTTCACGAAGACGCGCATTGGGAAGCATTGGGTGGGAATGGCAGGGTTTCAGATGTGGTGCGATCGCGCATGCCTTGCCTGTTCCCCCTCCCCCATCCCTTCCCACCGTCCTCCTTCGCTGCCCTCCCTCCCCTCCCCCCTTCCCTGCGTTCTATCCCTCCCCTCCCCCTATCGCCCCCCCTTGCCTCCGCGAGGCGCTACAGCGGCATCTGGCATGAATCCGCCATGCACGGCTGCGGTCAGTCCACCTGGCCCGATGGCCGGCGCTACCAGGGTCGGCCCCGCTGCTCGGACCCATTCTTGTGCAAGGGGGGGCTCGCAGGGACAGGAGGAACGAAGGAGGAGCAGCAGCAGGAGGAGGGAGGAGAGCGGAATGAGGAGGGATGAGGGGAGACGGAGGAGGAGGCAAGAGGGAGGAGGAGAGGAGGAGGAGGAGGAGGAGGAGGAGGAGGAGGAGGAGGATGCGGGGGAAGGAGGAGGCGTAGGGAGAAGGAAGGAGGAGGCGGAGGAGGAGGAACGGAGGAGGAGAAGGAGGAGGAAAGGAGGAGGAGGAGGAGGAAGAGGAAGAGGAGCAAGGAGGAGAAGGAGGAGGAAGCGACTGAGACGAGGCCCCTGGCGTGGCAGGGAGGCAGGTCGAGCTCGAGGGGCCCACGAGGCGGCCGGGCCAGGGCTGACATGCTGCGGGGGCGAGAGTGGCAGTGCCGGACGCCTGTTGGCCCGTCCACCAGCCGCCCCCCATCTTCCTTTTCCTTTTCCTGCATGGTGGCTAATTCGCTTCAACGGCGCCCCCGTTTAGCTCACCTCGCCAGCGCAGACGGCCACTGCCTGGCCGCCGACGGGCACAGTTGGCCCGTCCACTCAATGGCGTGCGGTTGGGCAGGCAGGGGTCTTCAAAGACAGCCCGCTACGGTCGGGAACTATTGGTCAGCGTGTCAAGTCGCCGGTTTTGGCACATCACGCGTCGGCGCGACACGCTGACCGCTTCCCGGCCCGAAGGGTCAGCGCCCAAGCCTTTCGCAGCTTCCACCCCCGCGGAGCGGAGCGACACTCCATCCGCTTGCAGGCCACAGCGCGCCGCTGGGGCCGCCGCCGCGACACGCGAAGCAACAGCTTCCGACCCATCCTGAGTCCATGCGACTGGGAGGAGCCACCCCCTGATCGTCGCCCCAGCAGGACCTGCCGAGGTCGTACAGGCCCACTGTATCGAGCCGCCCTTCTCCGAGTTCTGGCGGCGCTGGAAGCCTGAAGCAGGGGGCACACCCTTCCCCCTCGAGTAGCAGGTGCGCCTGTAATATGTACGCCGCGCGCTTCCTGGCCACGATTATCTTCGCAGCGATGGCCCTGCCTGGTCCCCACTGGCCGAACGGCAGTTGCCTGCTGTCAGGTTCCATGGATTCGTGTGCATTCGTTTGGCCCCCACATCTGGCCTTGTTTGCCGCGCTCTTCCCACTGGCCTCTTGGATTCCCGTGGGGTCGTGTTGAGTAGTCCCCCGTTGGCCCCTGTGCGTTGCACTTCCCAGTGGACGCTTGGGATTCCTAAGTATGAGTTCCTATGGATTCATATGGCGATCCCCCCACTGGCCGCGTGTGCGGCACTCTTTCTTGCAGCCGCTTGGGTTCCTGTGGTCTCCCACACCACTGGCCGTGTGTGCTGTGCTTCTGGGTAGCCGCTCTGCTTCCCCGTGGATTCCTATGGCTTTCCCTCCCCGCCTGCCCTGTGGTGCCGCACTTTTTAGCAACCACTCGGTTGCTATGTATGGCCTCCTGTGGCTTGCGCCGCGCTTCCGAGAGGCCGCTCGGACTCCGATGCTTTCCAAATGGCGCCCGCCCCGCCGGCCGTGCGAGGCGCGCAATTCTGCACGTGTAGCTTGCACCGCATCCGATCTCTGTCCTGAAGAATCTTCCAGCTATTCGCTATTCGGCGATGCCGAGGCTGGATTTCACGGCCCCCCTCCGCGCATTGTGTCTGTTCTTCTTTCCCCGTCGACCGTGCATCTCAAAGATGAGCCTCGCCATCTCAGCCAGGCCTTTTTAACCTGCCCGTCCCCTCATCCCTGGGCGAATCGCATCATGCGGATCACTCGCTTTGATCTCACAAGTGCCTGTCCGCTGGTTCCGTTCTAAGGACCTACCAGGCGGGCCACACGCGCGCGCATGTCAAAATCTTTAAAAGACGAGTGGCTTTCAAAGAATGCTAGTCGCAGGCGTCAGAAATTAATGTCGCTTCAATCATGTGATTACAGACTTCTGTGCACGCGCGCTCGCTATAATTGTAAGGACTATACGCAACCATGTTGAAGCCATTTAACTATTACTGCGCACCTGCCAACTGTCTGCCAAATAATACAATGCGGGCCACACGCGCGTGGCCCCTCGCGCATATGCCGAAATTGTTGCAGTCCCATTGGGTTTCTTACGCAATTCGAGGTTCTTCGGATCTTCAAAACGTATGGAATTTGTATGCTACAACAGAAGAAAGAGCGCGTTCTGTGGTCGCTTGGAGGGGGGGGGGGTGAAACCGAGCCCCCCCCCCTTCCTCCCCTGCTTCCCCTCCTCTCCTCGGGCCGGCGCTTGCGTCGGCGGCGGCTGGCGGCAGCGGCGGGGACGACGATTTCTTTTTCTGGGCCGGCGCCGGCGCCTGCGGCGGCGGGCGGCTGCGGCGGGGAGCGTCGACGAGGACGACGGTGGTGGTGGGTGGTGGTGGTGGGTTGTGGTGGTGGTGGTGGCGGTGGTGGTGGTTATGGTGGTGGTGGTGGTGTGGTGGTTTGTTTGTGGTGGTGGTGGTGGTGGTTGTGGTGGTGGGTGGTGGTGGTGTTGGTGGTGGTTTGGTGGTGGTGTGGTGGTGGTTTGTCGTGGTAGTGGTGGGGATGGGTTGTGGTGGTGGTGGTTTGGTGGCGGTGTGGTGGTTGTTTGTGGTGGTTGTGGTGGTGGGTTGTGGTGGTGGTGGTTTGTGGAGGTGGTGGTTGTGGTGGTGGTGGCGGTGGTGGTTGTGGTGTGGTTGTTTGTGGTGGTGGCGGCGGGTCGTGGTGCTAGTGGTGGTGGTGGTTGTGTCGGTGGCGGTGGTGTGATAGATTGTGGTGGTGGTGGTGGTAGTGGTGGTAGGTTTTTGTTGTGGTGGTGGTGGTAATGGTGAGTTGTGGTGGTGATGGTTGTGGTGGTGTGGTGGTGTGGTGGTGGTGGTTGTGGTGGTGGTGGTGGTGGGTGGTGGTGGCGGTGGTTGTGGACGTGGTGCTGGTGGTGGCGTGGTGGCGGTGGTGGTGGTGGTGGGTAGTGGTTTGTGGTGGCGGTGGGTTGTGCTGCTAGTAGTGGTGGTGGTCGTGGCGGTGGTGGTGGTGGTGTGGTAGATTGTGGTGGTGGTGGTAGTGGTGGTGGGTTTTTGTGGTGGTGGGTGGTGATGGTGAGTTGTGGTGGTGGTTGTGGTGGTGGTGGTGGCTGTGGTGGTGGTGGTGGTTGTGTGGTGGGTGGTGGTGGTGGTGGTGGTGGTGGTGGTGGGGTTGAGGCGGTGATGGTGGCGGTAGTGGTGGCGGTGGTGGTAGTGGTGGTAATCGTCGCTGCGTCTCCGCCGTTGCCGGCGCCAGCGCCGGCGTTGCTGGCCGCCGCCAGCGCCGGCGCCGGCGCCAGGGGGAGGGGGGTTGAAACCTCCCCCCCCCCGGCGCCCAGGGGAGGGGGGGGTTGGAAACTCCCCCCCCCTAGGGCTGCCTCTGGTCATCGTCGCCGCGTCCCCGGCGTCGGCGCTGCTGGCGGCCGCCAGCGCCGGCACCGGCGCCAGGGGGGGGTGGGGTTTTGAAACTTGAACCCCCCCCCTGGGAGAGGTGGGGGGGTTTGGGGGGCGGGGAGTCCACCTGGTTTTGATCGACGGCCCCGAATGTTGGGGGGAGGCCCCACCCCCCGGTTCGAAACGCGCCGCCACCGAACGTTCCCAAGGCAAGCGCATGTTAGACGCGTTCGCTCCAATAGAAATATGTCAACATGTTTGCGCGCGCGTGCTTGTCTTTGCACCCTCATCAGCACTGTCGTCTTCATCATCGTCATCACCACCACCATCAGCATCGTCATTATCATCATACTTGGCGTCATCCATGCCATCCTCGTCATCATCATCATCACCACCAGAATCGCCATCGCAATCACCATCGTCGTCGTCATCATTACCACCGTCGTCATTATCGTCCTTGTCGTCGCCGTCGTCATCGTCGTCACCATCATCATTAACCCGCCCGAGCTACGGACCTGCATGATACGTGTCCTGGCGCCACTGCGGGTGGGTAGGTAGGATGTTTGCTAGAGCATTGGAGCTTCCATTTCAGGTTCTTTAGAGTTCCCTGCACACTCTAAATTGAACCGCGAACATTTCACATAGTCACTTCTTGGGCCCGTGCGATGGCATCATGTTCGATCCCCTCTAAAAAGGTCCAGCAGTCAAGACACTGTTTGATGAAAGGTCTAAGTGTCGCTTTGCCAAGCTCAGTCCCTCATTTGCACCTTGGCCATGTCCTGAGCAGAACTGATTGTGGTATGGTTTCGCGAGGCTTCCGGTCCCCAATCTGGTTGGCTACGCCAATTATACATATGCTGGCTAGCGTGGACCCCGGACATGGTGCTTCTAGCAACAGATCATGTGCAATCTATGTAGAGCAAAATGTGTGGTGCAATCTCTATTGTGCAACATTCGGTGTGCAATGACTGTTGTGCAGCCCGCGTGGGGCAATTTGGCAATTCGGGGCCGAGACCCTTAAAAGACCCTCAGGAGTGTAGGTTAAGGCTTAGAGCATTGCAGACAGGACCTGAGGACACGCCCACTCCGTGCCCAGAAGCACGGTGGCGGTTGTGGTGCAAGATGTGTGGTGCGACTTGCGTTTTGCAAAATACGTTGTTCGATCTATAGTGTGCACTATGTGAAGTGCAATCTCCGCGGTGCAGTATATGAGTTGCGGTCTACGTTAAGCAGTAAATGTGGTGCAATCTATGTGAAGCGATCTATGCAATGGACACTACGCGTTGTATTATATGCGGTGCAACCAATGCAGTGCAGCATATGTGGTGTGCTCGCTATTGTGCACTATTTGGTGTGCTGTCAGTGTGGTGCACTATATGAGGAACAATCGATGTGGTGCAATTCCTGTATTGCAAGATATGCGGCTCACTCTACGTGGCGCAATATATGCGGTGCAATCTACGTGGTGCGATGAATGATGAGCAACAGATGTTGCCCAAACTATGTAGCGCGATCTATGTGGTGCAATCTCTGTGGTGCAATCTGTGTTTCGGAGTCTA